ATTAATACGGTGACCGGGGGGTGTCATAGGATTAAAAAATTCGAAACTTTTTTCCAAAATGTTTTTTTTATTTTTTATTTTATTTAACTTTTTCAACATTTTTTTCAACATTTTTTCATGGGCAACGCCGGAGTCTTCAGTTAGTTGTTAATAATTATACAAAGTATAAAAATTAAGAAAGGGTGCTTGATCCTAATCGGTATAATTGAAACCAAGCAACAAATTGAAATAAATTTTTATTTATTGAAACCATGAATTGCTAAATCTACTAATAAGAAAAATATGTGTTAAGCCTGAGCCTGGGAAGTGTGTGAAAATGAAGAAACCAACTCCTGGAATTGAGAAACCTAAACTAAACAAATCTGTAGATAATCTTCAGAAAACAGGTTTATATATGCTTATTTGTTGAAACTTTCTTCTCAATTACTTAAGATTAATTGTCAATCAATACTACTGATTAGGACTGTATTTTGAAGGCCAAACAGCCAACCCGCTTTCTTTCACAAAATGTGTATAATGTCTAGGGCTGTCGGTGTACAAGCTCATTACAGTTTTTCATCCGAGTCTAGCGGAGGATGGATTAGAGTTGAAGGAGGAACCTGAGTATACCAGTATACTTTTAGGTCTAGAAGAGGATGGATTTCAGTTGAAGGAGGAGCCTGGATCAACTCCTGAACCTGAATATACCAGTTTACTCCTAGGTCTAGGAGAGAATGGATTAGAGTTGAAGGAGGAGCCTGGATTAACTCCTGAACCTGAATATACCAGTTTACTCTTAGGTCTAGGAGAGGATGGATTAGAGTTGAAGGAGGAGCCTGGATTAACTCCCGAACCTGAATACACCAGTTTACTCCTAGGTCTAGGAGAGAATAGATTAGAGTTGAAGGAGGAACCTGGATTAACTCCTGAACCTGACTATACCAGTTTACTCCTAGGTCTAGGAGAGAATGGATTAGAGTTGAAGGAGGAACCTGGATTAACTCCTGAACCTGAATATACCAGTTTACTCCTAGGTCTATGAGAGAATGGATTAGAGTTGAAGAAGGAGTCTGGATTAACTCCTGAACCTGAATATACCAGTTTACTCCTAGGTCTAGGAGAGAATGGATTAGAGTTGAAGGAGGAACCTGGATTAACTCCCGAACCTGAGTATACGAATGTACTCCTGGATTCTGTAATACAGGGATTCAACAATGAACAAGGATCAGGTAAAAATGTGTAAAAACTTGGTTTATAAACGATTTATTTATTATTAGTAAAAATGAACGTCATGGACAATATATTTTAAAGAAGGATGAATTAGCTTCTTGTTAATATGTTGGACCAATGATTTGTAGGACAGACGGCATGGCATCTTGTCAATTTTTTGTTCAGTTGATTTGTATGATAAATGACATGGCATCGTGTCAACTTATAGTCAGGACATATAATTTTTAGGACAGACGACATTTTGTATCTGTAACTACAGATGACAAAGCATCTTCCAAACTTTTTGTTGTTTGACAGATGATATGTAGGACAGACGACAAAGCATCGGTGTAACTATTAATGATTAAGGATTGTCTGGTGAATTAGAAGATACAGATAAACAGTTGGAGACCCAGCCTGTCACTTGTCATGTTTGCAGGTAGCTTCATTAATTTCAAGGCGTAAGTTGAAATGGCCCTTTATTTGTAGATTGGCATTTCCGATTCACAATTAGACTTATTAGCCTAAATCTGAGTAACATTGAGGAAGATATCGTCGTTTCATATCTGTTAACCCGTTGAATTTTGAAAATTTCTTTTTTGTCTCTGTTATATGTATTACAAAGTCTCTTTTATGCATATACCAAATACAAAAATAATCAATTTTCCTAGAAAATAAAGGAATTATTATTGATCCTGGTGCCGTAGATAATCGGACACTTATTGATTCATAATGTATGTTGACTTTATTAGTTCAAATCCATTTTTTTAATTTATAATTCAGTTATTTAATAATTTTGGAATTAATACTTTTATTCATTGATTCATTCATTCTTCTTCTCATCCTTTCTTTTATTCAATTATAAGTTTATCTGTTTGTTTAATTCATTCATTCATTCGATAAGTGTTATATTTTTATTAAAAGCATGTCATTTAATGATCTACATTGTACAATGTACGGTTTCTGTTTTTTAACACAAATATCCTTTTGAAATTTAAATATGTACAATGTTTTTTAACACAATATTTTTTGAAAAATGGAAGAACACTGAAAGACTCAAGATTTGACTTTGAATAGTTTAATGAACTGAAACACAGCAATTGAAACACTGACCCATTTTACCTAATAAGTTGATTTTCAAGCTATTGGTAAAAAATGTTTAATTTATAACCACATCAAAAACAAACAAATTTCGTCTTTCTATTCCACAGTTTTTCGGGGGTCCCACGGTATTTTAATTATTTGCTTTTCTAGAGCTGTACTTTCGAATACCAACGCACTGTACTACCACATGAATTATGTACACACACAGAACCTGGATATTATAAGGTATATTTATATTAAATACTTTGCTATATCCTGTTTTAATTTTTAATTTTGGCTCTATCTGTGAGCATCTTCTCTATGCACAATATAAAACAATAACAAAGAGAAGGTTGCGGATTTAATACATTTTTTTCGCACATTTTCAAAATTTTACAAAATCAAAAACTTTTGGACACAAATTTTTCAAATTATGAGTATCCTTAAACCTTCCCTGGGGTCATGTGAGGTCCCACACTAAATTTGGGCCCGATCGGTTCAGCCGTTTTGACGTTTATTGGACAGACTAACAGACAAGCCTATGAATAGTTTTTGCCTATGGAACTATAGCCTAGCTGGGAACCATTGAAGCTTTTGAGATAAGGGAAGAGAGTACATAAATCGTAATATGGAATTAGGAAATTTAAAAAGAACATTGAATGATTCGGCCAGGAATCGGAGGAAAATAAGGATAAACCTAACATTCTCTTACAAATTACGGTTGTAGATACAAGCCACGGTAGTTGGGGCTTCACGGCTTCAGCTACTTCCACTCGGGCATAACAGTATCATAGCACATGTCATGCTAACTAACTGTGACCCACTTACTCCTAAGGGAGGCAGAGGGTTGCCGGGAGGGGTGGTTTCCTGATTTTGACGTTTATTGGACAGACTAACAGACAAGCAAAGTATATAAATAAATGTTGACAAAGCTGAAAACTTCCTTAATCCCGATCGCTTAATTTGAATATCCACTTTTGACACTTTTGATTTCTGCTTAACCCGCCTCTAATCCTGTGATTTGTATAATTTGGTCTGTTATATCTCGTTATTTCGCTATCGTTAGATTCAAACATTGATCTGCATTCTTACAATCACTCATCCAAAGAAACTATTTAATTTCTGTATTAAGTTTAAAAATTATTAATTATATAAACATAATTTCATAATCTTTTAATAACGTTCTTTTTTTGGGTTGTATCTACCATTTGACGTAGATTAGTCGGACCAGTGACCACCTTTTTAATGGTTATTAACTTTAAAAAATAGCATGTGAGTTGTGGAAGTAACACTTCAATTTTATTAATTTGACTTGATTTAATTGGAAAAGTACGTCTGCTGTATAGTATAACTGTGTCTAAGTTTACCAAACCGTAACAAATAAGGATATCATGATGAATATTTTTATTAACCTTTCCACATTTTTTTAGGAACCTTGGTGGTACAGAGACAGCTGTAAAAGAAGAGGCTGAATAGTTGTAAGAAATTGCATCTTCTAAAATCTCAATATTGTTTGTTAAATTCAAAAATTTGTTGTTATTGGTCAAAACAGAATTCGTAATCCAGAACAATTGTTTTACTTTCAAAGTTTAAAAAGAATTTTCCACCAAGTACTTAAAAAAGATGCTGTCATCTCTTGACTTTTCTTTAAGAAAATTAAATTTTTCGGCAATTTGAAAGACTTTGCTTTATTTTTATGGAATTGTTATTTATTTGACGTCTGTTTAAAGAATGAGGCCAAATTTTTAAAATAATAAGTTTGAACATTTTTCTTCCAAAGTTCAAAAAAATTTGATTTTCTAAGCAGCACTTTTTGTAATTCTTTTTCAATGTTGGACAAGTTTTGGCAATCTAAAAAAAATTAATTAGAGTTCATTAACATTTTTCCTGAAATAATTGCATATTGTCTGACGAGTTTAAAAACTATGCCTAACTTTAGACCACCCCGTTTCTAGTCTTAAAGGTACTGTATGCGTAATTTTAAGTGACCCTTTATGCAAAATGGCAACTTCCGATTTACAACGGTACCCTTGAAATCGAAATCTGATAAAAAATGTGAAAGATATCAATAACGTCGTTTTTCTGAATCGAAAGAGGTTTACTCATGTGCATTTTTCCATTGTTTTTATAAGCAAGAAATGCGCAGGTCATTTTTGCAGAGAAACTACTAAGGAAAATAAGCAGTTTAAATAAACAAAATCATGGACGTTTTATTCATACTTGATGAGACAAAGGTTTTAAGGGTACCGTTGTAAATCGGACACAGCTATCTTTACAGGGAATGTCCCTTGAAATTACGCTTACGTTCCCTCAATTTAAAATCTCTAGTGAATAATTGATCTCAGTTAACAGTTAACTTGTTAAATGTAAACATTGTAAACATTCTTAATGATCCCAGTGCACGTTATTATGTGCCTTGGGCTGCACTTTTCATAAGTATCACATTTGAAAAAATAGATTCCTGATGATGTACTGTATTAATATTTATTATAAATAAATATTGTCACTTGTCTCTGATTTAATATTTAAGTATGTATTTATGCTTTTACAACCTTACATTTTATTTTAATTTTGGAAATTTGCACTTGTTCATAATTCAGATTTTTGTTTTCGGAAAAAAAGTTATTCTTCGGCTACACAATATTGTTTTTAAATGAATTTGTTCAAAAAAAATATCCATGAGTTTGTCCTGGCAAACCAAAAAAATTATGAATGGCAGTATTCCTAGAAGTAAACAAATTTTTAATGTTGATCGGCTATACGGCTCATCCGTCCTATTACCCATCCACTATACTTAACATCCGACCTACGACAGCTGTTTGTTTTTGTAATATTTAAAGATTAGGTTAGGTTAATACAATTTTTGGGCCAGGCGCTGCGTCCACTAGTCTATATAGCAGCTGTACAACCTCGTGCTAGTAGGTCGGATTAAGTAATAGCAAAACAGCTTTGTAAAAATAAAAAAAATATTTTTATATACAGTGAGATACAGTAACAGAGACTATAGGAGCAGCTGAATTTGAGAGACATTAGAAGCAGCTACAGTATCATCCAGGATTACAGTATAGGAGATACTGAACTGGATCAGCTAAACGAGATATCGAGTTGAGGATGCTGCCAAATTAGATACTGAACTGGAGCAGTTAAACGAGAAATTTAGTAGAGGAAGCTGCCTGGTTAGATACTGAACAGGAGCAGTTAAACGAGATATCGAGTTGAGGATGCTGCCAAATTAGATACTGAACTGGAGCAGTTAAACGAGAAATTTAGTAGAGGAAGCTGCCTGGTTAGATACTGAACAGGATCAGTTAAACGAGATATCGAGTTGAGGATGCTGCCAAATTAGATACTGAACTGGAGCAGTTAAACGAGAAATCTAGTAGAGGAAGCTGCCTGGTTAGATACTGAAGAGGAGCAGCTAAATGAGATCGAGTTGAGGAAGCTGCCTAGTTAGATACTTAACGGGAGCAGCTAAACGAGATATCGAGTTGAGGAAGCTGCCTAGTTAGATACTGAACGGGAGCAGCTAAACGAGATATTGAATTGAGGAAGCTGCCTAGTTAGATACTGAACGGGAGCAACTAAACGAGATATTGAGTGGAGGAAGCTGCTTAGATAGATACTGAACAGGAGCAGCTGAACGAGATATCGAATTGAGGGAGCTGCTTAATTACACCAGAGAATTCTGAATATCTGAAAAAAATGTTGTGAGGAAGAATTGAAATGAAACAAATATAATTGTATCAATAAAAGGTAAACTGATGAATGAATTTTATTTGTTCATTCTCTGAGAGATAGACAAAGGGACTATATGAATAACCAGAAATAACTGGGATCGAAAGTGAAGCCTTTATATTAACCCCATCCTTATTGGATGAGGGGCAAACGGTGGACCTTGACTTCCCTAGGATTTATTTTTGGAATTTGATTGATATAAAGATTAAAACTTTTATCACTTCAATAGATTCCAATACCCATTTTATATTGAAATATGCCCACCAGGAGCTCGTCAAAGGGTGTTGTCAGTTATCACTTCAATAGATTCCAATACCCATTTTATATTGAAATATGCCCACCAGGAGCTCGTCAAAGGGTGTTGTTAGTTATCACTTCCCAGAACCTTTTAAGAAAATTGTGGGTTTTTGGTCGGATTTTGGAACTTAAACACAATATTAAAACGACTTCGACAACTCCCACAAAATAACTTTTAAGAGCACTTTTATTTGGGTTCGCAGTGCTACAACGTTTTTGGGCAGAAATTTTCTCATTATGGGGAAGGTTCAAGACCTTTTTGATTATATTTTGTCACGAAAAGGGCCCAGACGTTAGGGCAACTTTATAATTGTCAATGGGGGATATCCCACCAATTTTCCAGGGGGATGTCACTGTCAGACGTCCTCCTTTTTCTCCCCTGGAGCCGCCTCTGCCCTTATAAATATAATTAAGACTGCATATCGACATTCACGGTTGGGCATTAATGAAACTGTATACATGAAAAGGGGTTGCATTTGTAAGCATGTAAAGTANCCCCCCCCTCCTTCAAGAAAAACTATTCCTGTCGATGAGATAAATAAAGCATGAAAGAAAAACAAAACAAATTGCCCGAATTTTAAGTATATATTTGAAATATACTTTGAATTTTTTTGCCCTGAAATCTTTCCTATTTAGCTAAAAAACGTTTTATATTCCATTTTGAAAAAAAGTGCACTGATATTTGAAATCACAATTTATTATAATGCGAAAATAAAATGATTAGTAATAGACAAATTAGCTTGCACAGTTAATGGTTCTGATTTTATATGTTTAATGAGAAAAAACTTGGTTGCATCAACGCATTTTAAGTGGGATACACTTTATACAGTTTAATCAAATCTAATAAGAACTCGGAGATCTTTGTTGTGTGGTTTAACAATGGATTCTAGTGCTGTATTTACATCTTCCAACTTTACTTCTTTAGTCACCAGACCCGACACATCAGGACACCTGAATTGTATTTAATTATCTAATTTCTATATTTCTATATAGCTATGTAATTTTAGGGTATTTGAGTCTCTAATTCCCCATTTAAAGGAACTGTTAGCTTTGTGCTTATTGAGGGTACGAAGAGTTTTTAAGTAGAGCAGCATTTTTAATATTTACTCAAACATACCATGAAATTTATTCTATAAAAATCTTATATCTAATTTAGCGATCTAATTCATTAAAGACCTCTGTTTTTATGGGCGCATTAGGTATTTGCACAAATAGTGTTTGCGGCATGAGCTTATCTCCACAGCATCTGACCCACACCCGGTTTGCCTTCCGTCAAAATTTCTGAACTTTTGTATGACAATTACTTTTTATCTATTATGGAAAAGTATATGTGGGCTGACCAGTTGCTTACTGCCTGCGCCAGGAAGAGGATCTCTCATAGAGGGTCTGCAGGCTTCACAGTTCGGAAGAGCATTGCCAATGATGTATCCTACAGGGGAGTAGCAAGTGAAACAACAGAGTTAAATAAAACAAGAACTCCTTATTCTGTTTGGCTCATCTGATGTATATTCAAGCCATGCACAAGGATACTGGGTTTTAACTCGGCCAGCTGTGTGTCTACAGTGGAAGATTTCACCTGATGGGTCTTTAAGGCGTCAAACCCCCATTTTGCATAATGGGTGCAGTTATAGGTTTTCTTAAAATTCCCCTTAGTACAGAAGACTTTGACACGAAAGAAAACAGGGAGCAATCCCTCATACTCTTCCTCATTCAAAACTCCTTATCTCTCTACTACTTGCTCCACAACTCAATGCCACAAAATCTATTTGGAGAGGCCTCAAAGCATAGAAACAATAAACAAGAAGAAAAAAGAAAATCGAACAGGAAAATTTGGAAGGAAAATCTTTACACTGTCAATTTTTCCGATGGTGAATGGAGACAACATTAGAGAAGGGGGCTTGGGACATCCCCCTATCTATTTATTTTGCCCTAAGTAAAATGTTCAATAAAATGATTTGCTGAGTCATATAGCACATGTGAAAACAATACAGAGTTCTGAAAAAAGGAAAGCAAATCAGCTCAGCTCAGTTCAAAACAGAGTTAAGAAAAAGCAAGATCTTTTCTGCATAGTAGTGTGGCAACTGCAATGATATAACCCCCCCCCC